ATTGTGAAAAGCTAAAACAAAAACAGGAAGAAATAAGGAAATTACATGTAAAAAAAGGATAGAATGTATAAAATAGGTATATGGAGTCTATCTACAGAAATACAAGGAATGATATGAAAACAATTACAGAATACTGTTTATAGAAATGAAGAGAAATATTAATTGTTCAGGTGTAGATTGAATCAATATAATAAAAATGAAAAGCCTACCTAAATTGATTTATTTATTCAGTGTCATACCAATTAAACTACCAAAGGATTACCTTATAGAACTAGAAAAATAAAACTGTTTTCATTTGGAGAAATAAAAGGTAAAGAATCTCAAGGGAAACGCTGCAAAATAAAAGAGAAGGAAGGGGGACTAATCGCTAACAGATTTCAAACTATCTACTAGAAAACAGTAATCATCAAAATGATTTGGTGTTGGTTAAAAAGTAGGGAAGTTGGTCAAAGGATATGAACAGACAGTTCACAGATGAAGAAATTAAAGCCATCTATAGTCATATGAAAAAATGCTCTAAATCGTTATTGATTAGAGAAATGCAAATCAAAACAACTCTGAGGTACCACATCACACCTATCAGATTGGCCAACGTGACAAAACAGGAAAATGATAAATGTTGGAGAAGATGTGGGAAAATGGGAACACTAATTCATTGCTGGTGGAACTGTGAAATGATCCAACCATTTTGGAGAACAATTTGGAACTATGCCCAAAAGGCTATAAAAATGTGCATACCCTTTCATCCAGCAATAGCACTTCTAGGGCTATATCCCAAAGAGATCAAACAAATGGGAAAAGGACCCACAGGTATAAAAATATTCATAGCAGCTCTTTTTGTGGTGGCAAAGAATTGGAAATTGAGAGGATGCCCATCAATTGGGGAATGGCTGAGCAAGTTGTGGTATATGAATGTAATGGAATACTATTGTGCTATAGGAAATGATGAACAGGCTGACTTCAGAAAAACCTGGAAAGACTTGTATGGTCTGACGCTGAGTGAAGTGAGCAGAACCAAGAGGACTTTGTACACAGTAACAGCCATGTTATGCGATGACTAATATTGTTAAACTGAACCCTTCTCAGCATTACAAGGATCTAAGACAACTCCAGAGGCCTCGTGATGGAAAATGCTGTCCATAACCAAAGAAAGAACTATGGAAGTCGAATAGCTATCACTTATTTTTACCTTCTGTTGAATTTTGTTTCATCTTTCTGATGGTTCCTCCTATTGGTTTTAATTTTTACTTACAACTTCACTAATGTGAAAATATGTTTAATAGGAATGTAAATGTAAAGCCTATATCAGATTGTGCGCCATCTTGGGGAGGGTGGGGAGGAAGGGGGAGAAAAATTTTCAACTCAAAAGCATATGGAAGTGACTGTTGATAAATCAAAATAAATAAATCACAAAAAAATAAATTACAAAAAAAAGTAGGGAAGTTGATCAGTAGGATAATAAGGTATACAACATACTGAAGTAAATGAAGCATGATTCTAAGGAACTGATAATGAAAAATGCTACTTACCTCTTAACAGAGAAGTGATGGATTCAGGGTACAGAATGACACGTGTGTTTTTTGATATGGCCAATATGGGAATTTGTTTTGCTTGACTATACAGATTTTTACAAGGGTTTTCCTTTTCTTTTTTAAGTGTGTGTATGTGGGTGAAACTGGAGGGAGAATATAATGTAATTACAAAAAAACAAAACCAAAAACTTAAGTAGCTTTCCACTGCTGAATGAATTCAGTTTAGACTTTATAAATTGGCATTCATGGCCTTCTATAATCTGGCCCCAACTTACCTTTCCAGCCACATCTCCCATTATTACTCTACACATATACTCTGGGAAGAATGAACTACTCAGTATTCCCTATATATGATTCAACCTTTTCTATCTCCACGCCTTTGTTCCTGATATATCCTTCTATTGGAACAGATTTCTTTTTATAGGATCATAGGTTTTAGAGCTAGGGGGCTCTTAAAGATCATACAATCAATCAATCAATTATACACTTACTATGTGCCAGGCAATGTGGCAGGTGCCTGGGATTCAAAGAAAAAAAATAAAGAGTCTCTGCCTTTAAGGAGTTCACATTCTGTATAGAAATAAATATATACTGAAAAAATACAAGGTAATTTTTTGGGGGTAGAAAGGGCACTAATAGCTGGGATGGTAATAAAGCTAGGGCTGGAAGAGACTTTAGGGTCATCTCCCCAGTCTCTTTATGTCTAAATCTACCTACCAGAATTCTTGCTCTGGGGTTGTCTTGACTGATGGTTGCTTTTCATCTCTGGCTTGCTCCATGCCTGGGAGGACTTAACTTTTGTTCCCCCTTCCTCCCCAATTCTCCTCCCAGCTGTCCTGATAGTTAGTGCTGCCTGGTACCCATTACATCTAAGGACCCTTCTCCTTGCCAGTTATCACACTGCCTCTTTTACCTTTGCTTGTAGAAATGAAATCCTTATATAGCACTAAAGGCCTGGGTTATGTTATAAACTATTAAGAAATACTATTATGACAGTCTCCTAGTTTCAAGTCCTTAGTCTGACATGAATCAAAGTCATAATCAGTCTTTTTTGAATAGAAGACTTAAGCAATTTCAATACCTTTTCAGGAAGGCTGATGATTGAGGAAGCCTTCCTGAAAAAGGTATAGAAATTGATTAAGCTTTCTCTTCAAGCACTTTCTGGCTGTTCAGTCAGAAATGATCTTTACTTACTCTGAACAGCAATATCTTTTTGTCTATACCTTTCTTATGGTATGCACCACATGCTACTCTGTATGGCATAATGCCTGCATATAGTAAGTATATAATAAATGTTTTTTGATTAATTGGTAATATAGCAATTACGTATGTAGATCTTACTTATTTTTACTTGATTATAGAATCCTTGAAGGCAGGCACTATGTGTTTCTCTTTTTCTATCTCTCTTACTTCCCTTGGACCTAAAACCTGGTCTTGCAGAAAGAAGAAAGGAAGGAAAGAAAGAAGGAAGGATTCATTGTCAGAGACTGGATTCATACGCAAGTCCTCACTCTGAATCTAGTTCTCTTTCCATGGAACCATACTGCCTCCCTCTCAAGGTGGTAAAGTTTATTTTTTATGCTACTTAAAATTTTTTATTTTCCGTTTTGAATTCCCTCTCTTCCTTCTGCCCCTTTACCACCCATTGAGAAGGCAAGAAATATGATACACATTATATATACATATATACATATATATATATATATATATATATATATATATGAAGTCACAGAAAACATATTCCCACATTAGCCATGTTGCAAAAGACAAAAAAAAGCAAGAAAAATAAAGTGCAATAAAATTTGCTTCAATCTGTATTCAGAGCTCATCAGTTCTCTCTTTTGAGGTGGATAGCATTTTTCCTTTGGAATTGTCTTGGATTACTGTATTGATCAGAGTAGCTAAGTCTTTTACAGCTGATCATTGTTGCAATATTGCTGTCACTGTGTACAATGTTCTCCTAAGTTCTTCTCACTTTATTTTATATCAGTTCATTCACAGGTTTTTCTGAAACCCCTTCATCATTTCTTATAGCACAACAGTATTTTATCAGTCATATACCACAACTTGTTCAGTCATTCCCCAGTTAATGGGCATCCTCTCATTTCCATTTGCCATTACAAAAATACCTGCTATAAATATTTTTGCACATATGAGTCTTTTCCTTTTTCTTTGATCTTTCAACAATACAGGAGCCGTACTGCTGAGTCAAAGTCTATGTGCAATTTTATACCTCTTTGGGAATAGTTCCAAATTGTTCTCCAGAATGGCTGGACCAGTTTACAACTCTAGCAACAGTACATTAGTGTCTCTATTTTTCCACTTCTCCTCCAGTATTTATCATTTTCCTTTTCTGTCAATATTAGCTAATCTGATGGGTGTGAGGTATTACCTCAGAATTGTTTTAATTTGCATTTGTCTAATCAATAGTGATTTAGAGAATTTTTAATCTGATTATAGATAGCTTTGATTTCTTCATCTGAAAACTGCCTGTTCGTATTCCTTTGACCATTTCATCAACTGAGAAATGGCTCTTATTTTTATAAAGTTGGTTCAGTTCCCAATATATTTGAGAAATGAGACCTTTGTTAAAAAAACCTGTTGTAAAATTTTCCTCCCAGTTTCCTGCTTTCCTTCTAATTTTGGGTGAATTGGTTTTGTTTCTGCAAAAACAGTAATTTAATGCAATCAAAATTATCCATTTTACCTCCCATGATCTTTTCTACCTCTTATTTGGTCATGAATGCTTCCTTTATCCACAGATCTGACAAGTAATGTTTTCCATGTTCCCCAATTTGCTGATGACATCATCATTTATGTCTGAATCATGTATTCATTTTGAGCTTATCTTGGTATATAGTATGAGATGTTGGTTTAAAGGTAGAGAAATTTAATTTCTTCCTTTGAATTTCACATAGATATGCCATTTCAATATATACTGCTCCTTAGCTAAAACACTGGGGCTTGTGGAAGGAAAGGAGAGAAGAAGGAAGGAAGGAAGGAAAGGAAAGAAGAGAAATGGAGAAAGTAAGCAAGGGAAAGAGGGAATGAGGGAAAGAAGGAAGGAAAATAAAGGGGGGAAGAAGGGAAGGAGGGAGGGAAATAAGGAAGAAAGGAAGGAAAGGAAGAAAGAAAAGACAGGAAGGAAAATAAAGGGGAAAAGAAGGGAAGGAGGGAGGGAAATAAGGAAGAAAGGAAGGAAAGGAAGAAAAGAAAGAAGGGAGAAGGGAAGGAAGGGAAAGAAGTAAGGAAAAAAAGGAGGGAGGGGGAAGGAAAGAAGAAAAGAAAGAAAGGAAGAAGGAAGGAAGCAAAAATTACACCAATTATTGATGTTTAGATCACAGTTGCATTTTAGGTCAGTACTCTCTGTACTAAATGCTGTTCCTAGGCAGCAGGTATTAGCTTTAATTTAAATCTTAGAAAAAGAGCTGTTCCATTTTCTTCTATAGAATTAATAAGGAATACTACCTTTGTCTGCTCTGGTAATTAGTAGGTCCAATGATTCAAGTACATGCATCTGCTTCACTTGCAGAGTTTTGTCAAATACTGGTACTATTGGCTGGCCATCTGAAAAAGAAAACAGTTCATTCAATCCTATAAACATGGCTTAGCCTTGTTAAATACTCTACAATGTGCCTGCAGCTTATTTCAATGTTACTTGTCTTTCTAGTCAAGGAAGGAGATGAGTTTCTCTTGCCAGAGCTTTCACAAGTCTATACACTGAGACCATTGCTCTGCTCTCCTTATTTTGGATGGAAGGTGGGTGCTTCCTTCCCTGAGGGGTCCATCAATGCACAGTGAGCTACACTGGCAACTAGACGTAGGCAATTAATATTTTCTCAAAGCTAATTAAAAAGAAAGTAATATCTACCACATCAATGAAAATAAACAAACAAACAAAAAAGCAAGGTAAGCTGGTCCTTTTAGAATTTTCCTTTTTTAAAAAATACAATATAATGAGATTTTGTGTAACATCATTAATTGATTCTGTGGAAACATAAGTTTAGATGAAATAATGTTATAGGGGTGGCAGTTAGTTCTATATGGAAATTAATGCCATGGGGTGGTTCAAGTGCTAGCTCAGATCACCAACTGTCCAGTCTGAGGCTCATGTATCAGGGTGAATAACATTATAGAGGGTTGCTTATAATGTTTTAGAAACATTTTATTGTAAAGCCTTCTCTCCAATGTCTCATCACAGAGTGGAGGTAGCCTTGAGTCCATAAAGGCAATGTCAGTGGACTGCAAACTCTGTTAGGCACAACCAAACGGGAAAGATTTTAAGCACAAGCCAAGTGATGTACTATCACATACAGTCAATCCTAGCTAAATGTGGAGAGGCTCATTACTAGAAGATTGGCCGTTATTAGACGGAATCTTTTAGCCACAGCAACTTACAAAACTGCTTACTAATGCATGGAGGTGCTAGGATCCACCTGAAGAGGGAGAATGCACATCAATGAAATCAAAGAATCTTAGAAGGTTATCTGTAAGTATTGTGAATCCATGTTGGTTATGGTGACATTTTGAGGAGGTATACCTATATTTGGAAAATAAAAGGTTCCTTTCTTAGAATTTTGACTTAAAATCAGAGAGTTAACATTGGGATGGACCACAGAGGTCATCTAATCCAACCTTCTCATTTAACATATGAAGAAACTGAGGGCTGGGGAGAGGAAGGAACTTTTACAAGGTTAATCAAAAAGGAGGCAATGTGTCAGACAGCACTACATCAGTAAAAGACAGAGATAGGTTGGATACCTACGTCTGCTCTGTATCTAGTACTCTTTCTATGATATCATACTGCCTCCCTCTCAAGGTAGTAGACATTTTTTTTCTCTTGCATTTCACACACATGTACCGTTTCAATATATAGTACTTTTGTACCTCAACTACTCTCTGTGTGGGAATTGTAAATACTTCACTCTATCCAGGAACAATAAACATTCTTTCAAAAAAAATGAAATAGCCGAAGAAAAATCAATTTAAATGAACAAGTAACAGAAAGGGCAAGTTAACAAAAATGTTTGGGAAGAATATAGATTATGGCTGCCTTAAGGTCTGAATCTAACGAATAAAGTTTAGCAGGGATAATTAAAAAGTCCTTCAATTGTATTTTTAAAAATCATTAGTTCAAGATGGGGCAATATGTAAAGAGAGAAGTTTCTGAAAAAAGAGCTAGAGGTTTTCATGATCTGTAAACTCAATATAAATCAAGAGTATGATATGGGAACTCCCAAAACTAAACTAATGCTATTTTCTTCCCAAGTAGAATGTACTGTTTGGAGAGAAACTCAGACTAGATGACGCCTTATCAGGGTGTTGCAGAGGGGATTTCTGCTCAGGTTCTGGTGTGCCTAAATAATCTCTGAGTTCCCTTCCAACTCTGAGATTATGATTCTTTGCCCACACTTACGATTTCGTTTAGAGTATTTGCTGTTCTTCTAAGTGCCTATCAAGTGTGTTCTCTACCAGCGCACAGAGGAGAGAAAGGATTATTAAATCAATTTCATGAAGAAAATTTGTCCTAAGCTTAAATGAGATCTAGAACAAAGTAGATCTAGAATGCTGTAAAAATTCCACAGTTACTTTTTTGCCATATTTTCACTTTTCTATTTTTTCTTCCTTCCTTTTTCTCTCCCTCCCTTCCTCTGAAGCTTCCTTTTCTTTCTCTCTCCTTTCTTCTCTCTCTTCCTCTCCACTGCATTCAAAATTTTCATTAAAAGGCTTGTTTATTCCTATTTAGAAAAGTTAGGAATATTTCTGAGAGAGGGACAGAGATGAAGCTGTCAGAATCATGAAAAATACCTTCACCTTCCATTGCCATACAATTTTGGATCATTTGTAGCAGTCTTATTGAGATGTGGGGTTAGTCATGCTAGTGGTCTTCATAGTTCTGATTAGTCTCTGGACTATTCTCAGTTACAATTATTAGGTGAAATATTATGAAACTGATTGCAGTCCACTAGTGTCTCTACTTCTGCCAGTCATTCCCCTCTGCTATCTACCTTAACCTCCCACAAGATAAGGAATTCCTCAGAGATCACTTGAGCCACTTCCTTTGTAGATCTTTTCTGAAAGAAAGGTGTCATCTCAGGATCCTGCAGTACATTTCCTCTCTCACTGGAGCAATGTGTTATTGGAGTTCAGTTAATGTCTTCTATTAACTGGTTTGACTGAACCATTATATCAGTACTTGTTAGAGGATTTTAGTGAAAAAGGCATTGTGTGTTTCCATCTTCTGTATAATCATGGGGTGAAGAAGAAAAAAGTCATTCTAAATAAAAGTTATATAACAATTTATATTGATCATGAAATAACAATTTAATTTACAAAAAGCACACATATATAGCAAGCATGTATTCTATACTGGAAATCTTTTTTCATGTGGCTAAAACCTATATATGGAAATGGTCGAAAAAATTAAGTTTATGGGAAAAACAACCCAGGCTAAACTGGTCATGTAGAATAATATTTTTCGGCAATCTATTTCATAAATACATAAATTTTAGAATATCTGTTTCTATTAAATAAGAAAAAGTAAGAATGGTTGTATCAGATATAATCAGATTTCAGACTGCCCTGAAAATAGTTTTTGCTACTCATGAACTACAAAATATCTTGGGCAAAAATGGCTTTGTGGCAAATAGAATATATCAAGCGCATAAATCTGTTAATGAAACTGGTAGAAATAGGACAGTGAAATATGGAACTTGCTCAAAATAATATTGGCAGATTCATGGGCTGAAATAATTTGCATGATAAAGACAAGCAAAAAATGAGAAAGGAATTATAAGCCACTAGAAGCTAAAAGCACATCACTGAGATTCGTCCCGCTTTGCTGCTGCTGGATGTGAGAGAACAGGAAAGCATGATTTTATAGTGGGCATGTGAAGAGAGTAAGAATGCTTATATTTATGTTTTGGTCTATGCATTTAGACAACTCCTATTTAGCAAAGCCTTCTAATTCAGAAGAAATCAATTTTTTCTAGGCAAGTCATGATAATTCTTAGACTTGTAAGACACAAGTCTCCAATTCTAGTTAGATAATGAGTATATAAAAAGCATCAAATGATATTTATGAGGGGGTGAGGGTGGAAATGAAAGACAAATCTAATCTATATATCTGAGCAGAAGAGAATTATTAGAGGTTTTCTTTGATTGAATTTTATATAGGCTAAAATTCAGAAGCAATTCAAATAAATGTATAAATATTTAATGTAAAGGAAACCAGGTAAAATTTACCAATACTTTTCTTCAGTAAAGTAGACTAATATCATAAATGAAATGAGCATTTTTGCCACTAGTTTAACATAAATTACTTGTCCTGGAATGGGTTATTTTTAAGTTTGTCTTAAGGGATGTTTATAACTACCAACAAGACTTCAGTAGATTTAGTATTTTATATATAGGGTGTAGCAGGCAATAGTACTGTGGCTGGAAATGAGAAGAACTGAGACATAGACGTAGTTGTGAGTTTAGACGTAGTTCTGCTAACTCACTAGTTATGATCCTAGACAGACTGCTTAATCTCACTGGACCTTTGGAAGGTGGGGCTCTACTCCTACCTCTGCCACTTACTAGTTATGACCCTGGGCAGACTGTTTAATCTCCTTGGGCCTCAGTTTCCTCATTAGCAAAATGAAGAAGTTAGACTATATGATCTCAATAGTCTCCAGTTCCAAAATTCTATGATTCTCTTAATCTGAATTTTAAAAAAAGAAATATGAGGATTTTTATTTTCTCCTAAATTAATAAATACTAAAATTCTGTGTTCACTTTGCATTTTCTAAAATTAATGAAATGAAAATTCATAAATTCTCAGGAATTCAGCATTTGGAAACATATGCAACTAAAGTAGATACTAAAATTTAACCTATTTTAAATAAGGATAGAACCATGTTAGTTCTCCTATATGGCACCTTCAGGTATTATAAATCACAGCCCTTACATACATGATAATGTTCATAATACCCTATTATAACACAGAAAACCTATAATGTGGGTGTTGTCACTGTCTTCTGACCACAGTGTTTTTGGAGATTGCTCTGAAGTTAAAGTATGATCATTAGTTGCATGTATGTGGCCTAACTGTAACATTTTAAAGTCATCATTAACTATAATTTTTGAGTACATGGCCTCAATAGCAAATGGCAGTGTGGCACCATGGAAAGAATATCACAGTTAGAATGACAAAACTTGAGTTCATATACTGACTCCAACATTCATTAGTTGTGTGATTCTTGAAGACACTTTAATTCTCTGGTTATCAGCTTCTTCATCTATTAAATGGATATAGCAGTCTTTGCACTACCTATATCACAGGACTGTTGATAATACTTTGTAAATCTTGATAAGCCATAGGAGAGTACCACCATCATCAAATATTCCCAGTAAATGCTGGCCATCTATTAGAAACAAAAGCTAACCTGCTCTAAAACTACATTTTTAAGAGGTATATTGTTCTTCAAGATTTTAAGTTTTGGGATAATATAAATAAAACTGTGGGCTCTGGAAAAAAATCCTTTTTAAGGTTAACATTTTTTTCAGAAGAAAATATGATTAGTTATATTTTGTTTTCTGGCACAGACTTATTGCCAAATTGTCCCTCTCTCTAAAAGTATTTGCCTTTACTCATTAACTATTGGTCAGGAGATGTATCATTGTAGTTGACAGGCATGATCCACAAGGTGTCAGATTATACTTCTTTGCCAGTAGGCTACCTATATCATGTATGGAAAGAGGTGAACTCATGCTCTTGATGCCAATCTCTCTGTAGCTTTAATTGTAAGGAATGGCACTAGACTGGAAAAAAAAAGGTAGATGCTAACAAAGTGTCTGCATTGCACCATATACCACAATGTTCTACCTCCCTATCACACATGGGAGTACAGTACAAACACTAAATGTTTTTCTTTAAGTACTCTTGCCCTGTTGTAAACATGCTTGTTTCCATAATCCTCATGAATACCGCTTCTAAGATCCTGTATCCTTCTTTCAGAAACATAATATTATTCAGGAGATGGAAAGCTATACAAAAATTTAAAGGAGGGCAGGGCAGTCCCTGAGACAATGATTTAATATATCTGTCGGTTTCAGATAAAATCTCTGAACTGGCCATGCGGTTACTGAAAAGCTCTATTCACAGGTTTCTTTTTGTGTATGGGGACTTGTGACTTAATTGGTGTAGGGAATTCTCAGGGAGGAAACTCCCTCTATGAATGTAGCTTAATAGCTACACCTTAATTTATGGTCTTAGAGAATTGTCTGGGGGTCACCAAGAAGTTAAATAACTTGCCCAGGGTTAGTTATATAGTATGTATCTCAGGTAAGCCTAGAACTCAAACAGGTATTCCTAGACTTTGTAACTATACTTTATGCCTCTAAAATCCAGAACATCCGGGCCTCCTTCTGCCTTTGGTGAGTTCCTCCTGATGTCTCCATTTCATGTGTATGAGTGAGCCCAAACTGGCTAACCTTCATTTCTTTATCAGTTGTGCCTTAGACTTTCCAGACTTCAACATCCCCTCTACCCCATGTGGGCACCTCCTCTTTCTGGCCACCTTTTGTGTGCTTTCTTCCCCTAATAGGATATAAGCTCCTTGAAGACATTTTTGCTTGTATTTGTATTTCTAGTTCTTAGCAAAGCACATAGTAAGTGCTTAATGAATGCTTCTTGCCTTTTCTATCCATTATCCTATTTGTTGATACTTCACTATTTTAATTTTCTGAGGAAGCAGATATTTGATGTATAATTGGTTTTTTGTTCTTTCCTACAGTTCCTCCTTTTGTAATATTTGGTATCTGCAGTGGTAGAAGGGGTAGAAGGCATGGAGAACTGAGGACTGGAAGAAGCACGGTCCTCATACTATGTACGCTGTTGACATCTTAGATTTAAGCAATTCCATCCAGCTATTTTAGAAGATCAGTATGCTCACAAATAAGTGAGGAATGTTTTCTGGAGTAGAAGACTCCTGCCTAAACCTGAAATTAGGGTCCCCCTCTGGAAGCTGGAGGATGATGGGAAATTTGCTCTCTGGGCAAGATGTAGGTAGGAACAATGATGAGGGGTAATGGTTTCAATAAGCGGACAAGCATGATAGGGATTCCCTTTGAGCAGTGGTACCAAACTCAAGAGAAACAGGGGTCACTGCATAGGGTACAAGGACCTCTGGGAGTAGAAGGACTTAGAAAACTTCATATTAACATTATTTAATTCTACTCTATTTTTATTTATTCTATTTATTCCAATTACATTTTAATCTAGTTCTGCTTGGCTGTGTGTTTGACTCTTCTTCCTAAGAACAGTAATTCCAGTCTTCTGCCAAACAAAAATAACTGGAGCTTTTCCTTTCTGTGTTGGCAAAGACATGCTGGTTAAAAGACAATGGGCAGAGGGAAGGAGAAGGCAAGAGGCGGGAGAGAAGGCTCACAATGCTAGCTCACAATGACCAAAGGAGCCATAGCAATGACAGTGCCTGGTGACACCTGCTGGACGAAATGAGGAACTAACAGAGGGCTCAACACCTACTGAGCCACTAAGGGAAAGGAATATCTATTCAGGACTGTGACTGGGAATTTACACAGATCTTTTGAGAAAAGGTTACTTGTTAGGAAGTTTTGATCTGTTTTCCAAACTTTTCTGAGTCAATAAATAAGCATTTGTTAAATATCTACTATGTGCCAGGCACCTTGCTAAGCACTAGAGATACAAAGAAAGGCAAAAAACAGTCCCTGCCCTCGAGGAGTTCACAGTCTAAAGTGGGAGACAACAAGCAGATGTACAAACAAACTATATATAGGAAACTGGAAATGATCAACAGAGGGCAGGCACTAGAATTAAGAATCAGGAAAGGCTTCCTGTAGAAGATGGGGTTTTAGCTGGGACTTGAGGGAAGCCAGGGAAGCCATGAGGCAGAGATAAGGAAGGAGGGCATTCCAGGCCTGGGGGACAGCCTGAGAAAATGGTGGGAGTACAAATGAGAGATGGAGTGTCTTCTGCTAGGAAGAGCAAGAAGGCCACTGTCACTGCATCTAACAGTACTTGGGGAAGTATGAGAAGACTAGAAATACTGGGGGTGGAGCTGGGCTACATTATGAAGGGCTTTGAATGCCAAGCACAGGGTTTTTTTTTTTTATTGAATTCTAGGGGTAACAGGGAACTAGTAGAGTTTATTGAATATGGTGGGGTGGGTGTGTGTGTGTGTGTGTGCGCGTGCAACATGATTGGGACTAGAACTTTAGGAAAATCACTTTGGTGGCTGATTAAACTTTCCTTTTTCTTTGATATTGTGAACTCTGCTACTGAGGGGAGTTACAGAGTGATTTTTCTAGGTTTCAGGTGCAGGTGGTGGTGGGGGATAATGAGTGGGAGGTAGTGAGAGAAGTGAGAAATCTTCCTGAAGGGCACCTGAATCTTTCATACTGTGAGGGCCCCTGCACACAGGTTACATATGTGTTAGCTGGTGGTGTTTTTTTTTTTTACATTTTAGCTGTGATTCCTTCATATTGCTTTCAAAATAAAGCAATTTTAATAAGAAAATGAGAATTTATAGAATTTCTTAACAAGTTAGACTTGAAGGGAAAATCCAGCGGCATTCAGTCTATCTGATTTTACAGGTGAGAAACTTGAGGTCCAGAGAGATCGAATGATTTGCCTAATGTCACACAGGTAGCAAAAAGCAGAGCCAAAATTCAAATTTAGGTCTTCTGTCTCCAACTGCAGAGTACTCTTTCCACTAGACCACTGGTTAAACGATCTGCTCAAGATCACACAGTGAGGGCCAGAGTAGAGACTTGAACTTTACCCTCTGACTTCAGGGCCAGGGTTCTTTCTACTATATTGCATTTAATTCTATGCTAACCTCACTAAGGTACAGAGTAGTTTAATAGCCTAAAATTAATCACATTCATCACTGTCAGAAATTCTGTCACACAAATATAGACATTTATAGGAGCAACTACTCACTAACCATCTACTAGCAAGACGCCAGCATCTGTAGAGACCAGCAAGGCCTGGCCCCAGGAATCTGCGCATACAGCTTCATGAGGAAAATGACTGCAGAAACACTGGGACTCCCAAGGCTACGAGACAATACAAGCATCGAATAGTAAGTGCACCACGGCTTGTCAAAGGAAATGTTCAGTACCATGGCTGAAACAGTAACACAGATGCCCTTATTGAACACTTCAAGATTAAAAAAGGATTAGGAATTTATTAATTTTCTTGAGGAGAGAAAACTCCTTTCAATTAATTCATTAGAAGAAATCTATTAACATGTTTCTGTGGCTGTGAAATATGTTTTCCTATATTGTTGATTTAACCCATTTCGCAATTTCTGGGAGAGTCAAAAACTTTACACAAATTAACTACATGAAGAGATAGTTTCTCTTTCCCCTTGAAGTTGGATCAATTGACGTACATTTGCCGGGGGAGATGAAGAGATGTTTGGCTTTTACTTCACCATGAAATGATACCACATAGCTTTGTATTAAATGAGAGAGTGAATGTATAGTGCTTTGCAAACCTTAAAGCACTATACAAATGTTAGCTATTATTATTATTTGTAAGGGAAAAAACAGTCTGCCTCCTGTGTTGCTGATTCAGCAAAAATATCAAATCAAACATCACACATGAGGTTGATTCTATTTAAATAAAACTGCTTCTTGAGCGACTAACATTACAAAATCTAAAAGAGAAAATTAGCAATGCTTATAGGAAAAGGGCCCATGAAAATACCTATATTCCTTCAAATAGAATATCTGAACTGTGTATACTGTTTTTCTTAAGTTGGACACTCAGTTTCATTTCAGACAGAAAGTACCATTTCTCATGTTGCCACTATACCTACCTTTAAAGTCTTGTGTATGATGGGAGAGACAGGTCAAGTTATATCATAGTTGTTCAGAGGCTTTCCTTGACAATGTTAATAATTTTTTTGGCAGTAATTAACTTTCAAATCATATTGCTTAGATTCTGAAGTGTCCAGACCCCAAACATCAGAGTAAGTTTGGGGTGAACTTGATTACCCCAGCCAAAATATAACGCTGTATCTTTATTCTGGCTTTCATCGAGACACTGATGTCTGAGAATGGTTTCCTGATATATACAAAAATCTGGAATGCTTATATGTGTGCGCATGTGTGCATGTGTGCATGTACACGTGTGTGCGTGTGCATGTGTGTGTGTGTATGTACTTTTGTAGCAATAAAAATGAAATGGTCACTGAGGGGCTACTGCATATTATTATTAGGCCTCGGGGTGGAGGTATTTTCAGAAAAATAAAGCAATTTTTCTATATGTAAAGTAAGAGGCAACTGCCAAACATCAAAAGAGAACCCCACTGATTGGTGAGATGCCCTTTTTGGATTGGTCTTCTGATGAATATAGGGATTGGATGGTAGAAGAAAGAAGCTACAGAACTGCTCTCTAGTAAAGGCAGTGCCTACTTGTAATGAAAGTTTAATTTATTTTTCACGGCTAAGTTGTCATTAGCTTGTAGAGGAGTATTTTAATGAGGCCATGAGGTAAAAACTCAGCTCATTTATTTTTACTCCTTAGACCATGTGGTAATCTTAATACACAAGCTGAGACCTAGCTTTCCATGTGGTAATCTTAATACACAAGCTGAGACCTAGCTTTCCTTGGCTAAGTCCAAATACTGATAGCTTGTGTGACTGTCGCTCACAAAATGAGGTTCCCTAGGAACTTGACGACATGGTTCTTTCAGTACTAATCCAGATCCAGTTGTTTTGAAAGCTCAGTTATGCTTTAGCATCCAGAGGCACACGTAGATAAGAGGCAACTCAAACTGATAGACTTTCCTGTATTTATTAGAGTCTGAAGTCTTGCTGTACCAAGCAAAAGAAAGCCAGTGGAGGGTCTTAAGGAGGGGAATGACTTAAGAAGGGTGTTTGCTTAATGCCAATAAACATTTATTAAATACCTTCCCTTTGTGAAAGTCCTGGTGTCAGGTGCTAGGGATAGAAAGACTAGTAAAACTTAATTCCAGCCCTCCAGGAATTTCTAGTCTAAAAGTGGGGATAAGACATGAATAAAAATAACTGTGCCATAAGGGAGAGTGTGGTAAGTTTACAGAAGTCCAGAAAGAATGCTCTGATAAACTCTAGGAAGGCCACAGGAAGACCAACAGGGACATATGAGAAAGGCATGTGGGAGACCAGCAGGTAAATGTTGAAACAAACAGTTTGAATTACCTCTGATAGTTCATTTGACTTCTAGCCAGTATGATTTCTGAACTGTTTCTGATCGTGTGTCAGGAACATCTTTATCTTCTACCCCAGCAAAAATTTCATTTTCCTGAATAATTTCAACGTGTACAATGTACATTTGCAGACTAACATGAAAATGTTATCAACTCACCTCTTTTTTACAGAGACCTGAAGTTGCCAAGCTAGTTGGAGCATCCCCTCTCACGATGGTTTTCAGTTTCAGTGCCTTAACAGGACAGATAGCTTGTTTAAGGTGTGTTCATATTCAGTTTAGTGAGAGAAGGATAAAAAGCTATAATCTGAACAATGACAACAGCTGACATTTACATGGTGGCTTTTCAGTTCAACAAAGCGCTTTCATAGCCATCACCTCTTCTTAATTTTCATAACAACTCTTTGAGGGAGGTAGTGCAAACATTTTTCCCATTTTACAGAAGAGGAAACTGAGGCTTAACTAATTTGCCTAAGGTCATAAATCCGGTAAATGATGGAGCCTGAACTTGTCTCCAAAGTCCAATGCTCTTTCCACTACACAAAATTTATCATAAGAAGATGGGTAATTTTAGGTTCAAGTATTCAAATGCCCTGTACTGTTCTCTTAGTGAATTTGGATAATACAGCTATTTTCTAGCAAGTTTTAAATAGTCACAATCTCTTTACAATGTATTATAACATAACTCAAATGGTTTAATTAATTTGTATTCATTAGTACATTGGTGCCTCTCACTCCAACAAATGTTAATTATGTGCCTACTACCCGACAGGTATTGTGCTTTGTGCTGAAGATACAAAGATGAAAAAAAGGTAGTCACTACTCTCAAGAAACACACTATTGACCAGAGGATCTACATGATGATTATCAAATAAGTATTAAAAGATTAGAGTGTGATAGAAGGGAAGGGAAAATCTAGAGCTTGGTCAAGATTTGAGGACAAGAATACTTTTAGCTGAGAGAAGCAAAGGTGACTTCATGATGGAGTGGCATGTGAGCTGGACCTTGAAGCAAAAGAAGAGATTCAGCATTCAGGGATGTAAAAAGAGTCAGCTCTCCCATGTCTGTGCAAATGCATAAAGGCAGGAGATGGCAGTACGAACTATGGAAATAATTAGCAGTCTAATTTGACTGAAACCTAAGAGTATATTAGAAGTATGAAATCAGCCTCAGAAAGAGAACTGAAACCAGGCTGTCAATGACCTTCAATGTCAAGCACAGAAATCTTTTATGGACAACAGGTAGATGCTGAAGGTTTTCAAGTAGGGTGTGACAGAGTTAGAGCATGTATCAAGATGATAATATGTTGAGCAGTTTTGTGAAATATAACAATAAATCAACTGGCTGGGGAAGAGTCAAGAAGCAGGGAACTCCATTAAACTGTGCACAGGAGGCTATTATACCAGTTTAGGCTAAGAGATGATGAGGGCTTGATCTAAGGCAGTTAAGTGTGAGTGGAGAAGGTTGGGATGGATACAAGAAACGGAGAGGAGGGAAGATTGACAGGACTTGACTCCTAACAGGATGTGGAAGGTGAGGGAGAGAGGGGAGTAAAAAATGACACTGAGGTTTTGAATCATGGGTGCCTGGGAGGATGGTGGCTCAGAGAAAGTAAGAAGCTGGGGGAGGGCCTAGTTTCTGGGAGGAGAAGGAGGAATTCAGTATTGAACATGTTAAATTTGAAATGCTGGTGGGTCACTCAGGTCAAAGTATTTATCAGGCAGCTGGAAATGTGGGACTGGAGCTCTGGGGAGAAGCTGGGAGGTAGATCCAATTCACTTCAGTGAAGCCAACTGTGTGTAAGACATTATGCTAAGTGGTAGGCTAAGCTAGGGATACAGAAACAGAAATGAAAAAAAAAGTGTCTGGCCTCAAGGAGCTTACATTCGACTGAACTGTAGAGCTGTAGATTGTATTAGATATGTAGATTTAAGAATCATTGGTAGAGAGGTGATAATTTAATCCATGGGAGCCCATGAGATCTAAAAGTGAGAAAATAGAGAATAAAAAGATGCTGAAGATTAAGGCTTAAATGATCAATTAATCAACATTTATGAAATGCCTACTATGTGCTAGATACTAAAGACCTTACATCTTCTTGGGACAAACAATATCTATATATACAATACAAATAAACAGAAAATATACACTAAATACACAAAAGGTAATTTGAAGGGCGGTATCCTTGTAGCTGGGGGTGGGGGTCAGGAAAGCTCTCATATAGGAGGTGATGACTGAACTGTGCTCTGAGGGATGCTAGAGAATCTAAGTGGTGGAGGTGATGGAATGCATTCTAGGCATGAAGGACAGACACATGGGAAGAGAGATGGAATGTGGGAGAACAGATATGGGCCATTCTGTGTAAGGAATAGGAAAGAAGTCCAATTTGGCTGGGCCGTAGAATGTGTGAAGGGGAGTATTGTGTAATAAGTCTGCAAAAGTGGATCAAAACCAGACTGTGAATGCCAACTAGAGGAGTTTATATTTTATCCTAGAAGAAAAAGGGAGCCACTGCAACTTTCTGAGCAAGGAAGTCACATATTCAGATTTACACTTTACGACTCTCACTTTGGCACTTGGGCGGAGGACAGATTGGAGATGGGGGAGACTAAGAACACTGTTTTATTATTAACATGTCAATAGAAGGCTAAAGGTAATGAGGGTATGAATAAGAGTAGCAGCCACGTGAGTGGAGGTGGGGGATAGAAGCAAGAGATACTGTGCAGACAGAAGACTCTGCACTTGATGGGATATGGGGAAGTTAAGGGTGACTCTGAAGTTGTGAACATAAGTCACCAAAAGCATAGTGGCACTTTGGACAAAAAAAGTGAAGTTAGGAAGACGGGGTTGAAAGGTGATGAATTCTATTTTGGATGCACTGTGTTTGAGATGTCTTTAGGATATCCTGTTTGAAATGTCAAATGGCTGGTAATATAGGGCTGAAGTGAAGGAGAGAGAAAGGCTAGTTACATAGTTCTGGGAGTCACGTGAGTAGAGATAACTGAATACATGGGAACTTATGAGATCACTGAGTCATCATCAAAGTCATCATTTGATCATCATCAAAGAAAAGAGAGAAGGCACAGTACAGAGCCTTAGGGGTATACTTATGAACCAGTAAAGGAAAGGAAGGAATAGTCAAGTAGATAGGTAGGAGGTGAACCGAGAAGAGTACAGTCAACCATGTCAAGGGAAGAAAGAAGGTCAAGAGGGAAGGAGTAGAGTAGCCAGCAATGTCAAATGCTACAGCAAGACCAAGGACGATAAAAAGTGAGAAAAGGCTATTGGATTTGGCAGCTCAGAGGCCAATGGCTATCTTGGAGAGCAGTTTCAGTGAAGCTTTGGGAATGGAAATCAGACTGAGGGATTGAAATATGAATGTGTGGTGAGGAAATATAAACAGTAAGTGTGTACTATGCCTTTTTAGAAGTTTAGAAGTGAAAGAAGGAAGAGATATAGGATGATATAATAACGAGATGATACTGAGGAAAGTGCTTTGTAAACCTTAAAGCCTCATGGAAATAGAAATTATTATTATTATTTCTTAAGTACTATGTCCACTATATACTTATCTCCCATTAATAATATTCCCTTTACATATACAAGTAATAAAACCATGAAGTCCATTTCACATATAGTACCCAAACTATTTGATGCAATATTGCAGGTATCGGGTATAACGTTTGAAGCCTATCTTACCATGCCACTTAATAATTCCAGAGGGACCCACTTAAATGGCCTGTACTATTTTATGTGAACCTTAAAAAAAACCCACCTAAAATTTCAGACATTTTGGAAAATTCAGTTTGAAGAGACTGTCTTGATGTAGAAGTCATTTCTAAATGAAACTTACCTGCCCGATTCTAACAAATTCTGCCTGACGGGCTTCCTCTTTCTTCCGGGCCGACTTGGGTGACTCTGGTAAGACATCACTAAAAGATCGTCTATTAAGCATGTTCTAAATAAAAGGAAACAAGTCAGTGCAGCAGTGTGGTGGTGGTGGAGGGAAGAGCGCAGACTTCAGGATCAAAAGGCAGAGCTCTGAATTTCTGCTACCTTAGTATCTGTGTGACTTTAAGCAAATGACTTACCTTCTCTGGACCATAGTTCTCCTTATCTATATAAGGATCTATATTAGGGATCTTACATGATCGCTAAGGTTCATTCCAGCTCTAACCCATGATGCTATCATGACTAATAGAGGATATTATTTTAAGGTCTTGTCCTAGGGTCTCTGCTTATTTCCTCTGAATTGTCAGTATTATTAACAGAGCCAGGATCAGACCCTAAGCTCTGTCCCTAATCAACATAACCACTAAAAATGCAACTACCTAATAATAATGATTCACATTTCTATGGTGATTTAAGGTTTACAAAGTCCTCTCTCAAAAACAACCCTCTAAATTAAGTAACACAAATATTATCTTCATTTTACAGATGAGCAAACTGAGGCTGAGAAAAGGGAAGTAAATCACCCATCTTCACACAGTTAGTGTCAGAATCAGATTTTGAGTGGGAAGCTAAGTGGCACAGTGGATAGAGCGCTGGCTCTGGAGTCAGGAGGACCTGAGTTCAAATCCAGCCTCAGACACTTACAAGCTATGTGACCCTGGGCAAGTCACTTAACCCTGTTTGCCTCAGTTTCCTCATCAGTAAGATAAGCTGAAGAAGGAAATGGTAGATCACTCTAGTATCTTTGCCAAGAAAACTCCAAAAGGGCTCAGAAACTGAAACAACAGTCTTTGAACACTGGTCTCCTGACTTCAATTTCAGTACTGTTCCCAATATACCATGGATCCAAAGTCTCTTCCAACTTTAAATTCTATCCTATTTTTCATAGGCTATATTCCTTAAAACATAAATTATATGAATTTATACTGACACAATTATGATTTATTGGTATTAAATAAGGGAAAAAACAAGGATATGTATACTAGAAAAGGTATTTGCAATTGTTATGGAGATCTAGTATAATGTCAAAGTCAAAACAAATATTCCCTACAGATGATAAGGAACTAGAGATGTTTCTGTTTGTATTTGTGGGTGATACTGTGTTAGTTATCTGGAGTCCTAGAACACTCTAGAGCCATAACCATTCAAAAGAGTTTAGCTTAACCATCCACACAAGCAAAACTAAGTGGATGAAATATGCTTATGATACAGATTATAACATGCAGTGATATGGAAAATGTGCAGAATTCATCTATTAGTATAAATATCTTGGACAGTGAAAATGGATGAATTGGGCCCATAACTGAATAGGAGAAGAGCAGGTTGGATTGACTTTGGGAAACCACAAAACTCCTTTAAAGACCCAGAAACAAAATCAATATTCTGCTGGTTGTTGTATGTCTGTGGCCCATGGAACACTACAGTCACAGAATTAATGCATATCACTCAAAGGGCAATAGATATGTACATGGTGGATGTGAGTAGGTTGCAGTGCATAAAAAATATTGAAGAAAAATAGAATACAAGAAATCATCAATAAAGTATATAATAATATGGGCTGGTTATATGGCAAAAGTGAGGCATCGGATAGATAGGCCATGTATTCCACTGCTCTCTTGCAATGTTAGGAGAAAGTGAAAAAACTACATAATACATTGAATATCTATGGTGAATTTATGGGAGGAGTGGGAGAAACATTGTGCAGGATGGTTGTCTACCTGGCATGGGCATCACTGGCAGGAATGTCCACATTAATATGATCACAAATTTATTTGAAAACTACTTATCACAAAATACACCATTACCTTACTGACAGCGTGTAGATAATTCTACGCCTCTTACAGTCAATGTTCAGTTATAATTTTAAGAATGAAGGCAACTAGTCAACTTTGCTAACTCAAAAATCTTTTGCTTGAATTCCTCTTTCTGAAGTTCTGTTCAACTAACTGAGTTCCTATAAGAAGGTGAGGACCTATGTGTTACCTTGTGCAGATCTGGCATCAGATCCTGATATAAAGATCGAATCAACATATCCAGAGTTCGCTGTCGTTTCTGGGCAAATGTTGGAGTTTCCAAGGTAGCTTTTTCACCATTAATTACTAAAATAAAACAAATTTAAGAGGGAACACAACTAGAATAAATCAGAAATTAAATACTCAAAAATCTCCAATGAACATTTAAGTGCTTAATATGTGCAAGACACTGGTTTAAGTGCTGGGGATAAAAAACAAAAACAAAAGTCTCCCTGCCCTCAAGGAGCTTACATTCTACTGAGGGATACAACACAAATACAAATAAAGACTGCCTCCTTTAGGAATTTTTACTCAATTAACTACTTCTAATTCAATGATATTACTCTTCCTTTTAGATTACATGCCTTTAATATTCCACTTTTCTTATTATACTGTAAATTCATGGAACACAGAAATTATATCTAATAACTAATATTAGTTTTCTTCCTTGTAGTACTCAGTCATTACTGAAAGGGATAACTTAATGGAACTAAATAAATGTAAAGATTTCCTCCACTAAAATCCTTCTTTGATGTCTCATTACAGTGTGGCAATCAATGAAGCTGCGCTTTTGAAGGCTATACCAGTGAAGCAAAAGCTCTGTTAGTTCCAAATGGGTTGGAAACGCTTCAGGTATCAGTCCAGAACCCCATGTAATCTGAACATCGGTCTAGCTAAGTACATAGATACTCATCACCAGAAGACTGGTTATTTGTTGGTGGTCTTCTTTTTCAGCCAAAACATTCACACAGTCTAATCTGGTGTAGAGGGATTGCAATCTGCATTAGTGGAGGGTGTACTTATATCAATAAAACCACAGGTCCCTAAGGTACAGAAATTAATGTCATAAAATTCTACATTTGGGTTAAAAAAATCAGTTGCACAAACACAGGGAAGACCTGGCTTAAGAGCATTTCATATAAAAATAACCTGTTAATTGACAGATATTAGCCACCTTATGTTTGTGTATGCCATTTTAGAGTTTTCAAAGAGCTTTCAGAAGCATAATTTCAGTTGAGTCTCAGAAAAGTCCTGTACGTACAGCAGAGTTGGTATTATGATCTCCAGTTAATAGTCATGAATGCCAATAAAAATGTAGAGGGCTTTAAAAATTAAACTGGATGTAAAGGGAAGATAAAATAAGATATAATATTGCTATTTAGAATGGCTGAGATAATGACAGATGATTTAGAGAAAGCAGAACTACTCAATGCCTATTTTATTTCTGTTTTCTCTATCAAGGAGAATGATCTTAAAACTGGAAAGGCAAGGGTGGCAGTGGTTACTAGGGAAATGAAGTTAAATATAAATGAAGACACTGTGAGACAGTACCTGCTTCCTTCAACGAATTCAAAATACCAGGCCTGGATGAACTACATCCCAGGGCACTAAAGGAACCAGTAGATGTGATTGCTGAATTGCTATAAGGGTTATCTGTAAGATAGTACTTAGAAAACTGGAAAAGTGTCACAGGACAGAAGGCAGATGGATGTCTGAATGTTTGAAAAAAGGATGATGGTAGAGTCTTCATATTATAAGCCAAGGAACTTGATAGGAGGAGAGAAAAAGATCATGTATGAGGACAGAAGAGTTTTGAAGTGGGGAAGAGAAGGTCTGAAGGTGCCCACATGAGATAGCTTCAGTCTCTTCAGGCAAGAAAGACATGAGGTGATATGCTAAGAGTATGGCACAGGCCAGCAGTGGGATGGTGAGAGATGATTGGAGAAAAATAATCAAAACAGGAACTAGGGGAAATGCACTAAGGAGTTATTGAAAAATGAATCAAAGGATTGTGAAAAAGCAGGGAGGGGCTACAAGGGGTTAAGTAACTTGAATATGTATCAGTTGAAATCACCGGTACTTCATGACTTCCACCAGCAGCATTTCAGGAATGTCAGCAAAGTAGGTGAGAATAACCAAAGATTGGGAATGAGCATAATTTGATATGGTAGGTCAAAGGGGTGACAGAATGGAGCAATGTAGTGAACACATTACTGAAATAACTAAGTGTGGGGTCCAGGCAGGTGAAGAAGTAAAAGAAACAAAAACAAGAGTGTTAGATCGGGAAAATGCAAAGATATTTAAGAAACAGAGATCCTAACAAGGACTAAACTCAACTTTGTCTAAGACTGAAGGAGGGGGAGAGGTGGAAGGACTAAACATTGTATTTGTTGAGGGGGATTTCAGAAGATATTAGAGGTGGGGCAATTTCAAATGTTGGTGAGGTCGATGGTATCATATTTAAGTGGTTACCTGCAGTAGAAAGATAGAAAGGCTACTGGGGTTAACTGAGGTTGAAGAACCATAAGGTTAGATGGATTATCAATGTGAATCTTAAAGTCACCAAAGATGACAGTGGAAGATAGGATGGGTAGGGAGACTGGACAAGATGGTGTACTGTAGGAAGATCAATCTGGCAACAATGTGCAGCTATCTGGAATATTCAACTACCCAAAAGGACTCACTCTCTTAGGATTCTGGATATGTGGAAGTTTGCTACAAATACCATGTATCGTGCCACTCTTATGAAAGTCAAGTTTTTTGTTTTTTGTTTTTAAACTACTTTGTCTCTATTGGGTGGCCTCTCCTTTAAGCAATAGGTCTGAGACAAGAAATCTGGAAGAACTGTCACTTGCCATTTTTAGATGCCCTACAAACACCAAATAGATACCAATGTTGTTAATTGTGTAGATTTCGAAAAGAACAAAAAATTATAAACTCCCACAATATTAACATTTTAATTTATAAATCATATACACATTCTAATGTTTTCTTGCTTCAATTTTTATTCAAAAATGTACTGAAATACATAGACTAGATTAGAGGGAGTGGTTCCAGAAGATACAGGTGAGGAGTGAGAACATTGCAGGCATGGGAGACAGACTGTGCAAAGGCATGGAGACAGGATATGGAAAATCATATACGGGGAACAGCAAAGCCAGTTTGGTTGAAGCATAGAGTATGTAAGGGGGAGTAATGTGTGACTGGCCTGGAGAGAAAGACTGGAATCACATTGTGAAGGGCTTTATATGCCAAACAGCAGAGAATGTACTTTTAAGAGGCAACAGGGAGTCAAGGAAGCTTCTTGAGCAAGGGTGTGACAGTTGGATCTGTACTTTAGGAATATCAATTTGGAAGATGTATAAAGGATGGAAGGGAATGGGGAGAGACCGGATTCTAGGTGATCAATAGGAAGCTACTGCAAAATGAGAGGTTGACTAGGGAAGGATAAGGTGTGGAAAAGGGAATGAGGAGTAAGAAAATGATTTCAAATTATTCAGGAAAACCATTCCTAGTTTTGACACTGAAAGAGTAAAAATTCTTAGTGGAAGTTTTAGAAGCTTGGCAAGAACACTCTCAAATGTGCTGACAAGGTGGAATAGTGGGAAGAACATGGCTTTGGAGTCAGAGGGCCTGGGTAAATCATCCTAAAACTCTGTTCTTATAACCTAGGGATCTTGGGTGACTTTCTTACCTTCTTTAAGCCCCAATGTCCTCCTCTGTAAAATAAAGGGGTTGGACTGAATGATTTCTAAGGTCCCTTCAAAATCTAATGCTTATGATCCAAACTTTTCTTTAAACACCAAACTGCCACATTAAGCAGTCAGTCTATCAGGAAAAATAATTGTGGGGGTGAGGAAAGTTACAATTTTGCCCTTTAGAAAAGGGAGGTTGGGCAAAACACATAAAAGAGAATATATATCAGTAAATACAGTATATAACTCGGAAGATCTGTCTGTGAGTAGAATCAATCCCAATCCCCCACTGAAAAATAAGCATCTACACTGGTTTATCTTGATTCAGGGCTCAGAAACCACTTACAACCTCAAACTTAACACAATCTTCTTACACAATTCCCTAAGTCTTGGTCTCCTGCCAAGCCCACACACATATCCACCAGGACAGTCATACACTAAAGCAAAAACAGAGATGGACAAACCAGAGGACAAAATGTAAAGAAAGGTACATGGCTTGATGGAGAGAGGACAGAGAACAGGTAAATGGAGAGGTAGAGAGGTCAGATGATCTGTATGGGTAGGACAATGTATAAGTAGTCAGCAAAACACCCATAGAACAATTGCAGAAAATTAAAAACTACTTTACAAAAAGTTTTTACAATGCATGGAGATGCATAAGAGAGATGAAATTGCCTTGTGAAGTCTCATGAAATAAAACGGCATAATACATTGTGACCTAGACCAAATAAGCCTTCCAAAAGGACCTCAAAAAAGAAACTTACATTTCACTAGCAAAAAGTCCCTGAATTCCTGGTGATCTGTAAACACAGGTGGGGATGGCAAAGGCGGGCCAAAAAGGGGCACACTTTCTTCTGAAAATATTTTCAGCCTATGGAAAGAACATTTTATAATTAATTGGACCTCTTTTCTCTAAAAGCACTGACTGTACACACCAGAATTTGTTATGTAAAACAAAAAACCCAATTCATGTCATATAGGGCTTTCTGGTTTATAAATTGGTTTCCTCACAACTTTATGAGTGAGCTAGTGAAAGGATTATTGTTCCTGTTTTACAGAGGAGGAAACTGAGTCTCACAGAGAAGTGACTTGTTAGAGGTCATGTAGAAAGTAAAAAAGAACAAGATTCAAACCCAGGTCTTCAGCCTCCAAGACTAGCATGTTTTCTACTACATCATACTGTTTCACACCACTAATTAGTTCAACATCCTTCTTTCTATGTGATTTGTATAAATTATGCTTTGTGTGGGGCCTTGAGAATACTTGTATTTCTTATCCCACCTGAGAAGCTTCTTTGGGGCATAGAGAGCATTTTCTTCTACATTCAGTGGTCCCATCCACTGCGCAAATGACAATTCAATTCAATTCAACCAAACATTTATTGAATACCTACCATATACAAGACTGTGCTTGTGGTGCTAAGACAATGCCATGCAGCCTATAAGTGTTCAATAAATATTATTGGTTTAATAGAATAAGCCTTCAGTAATGTTTTCCTCTGATACCTCATCTTGGGGGTAGAGATGACTTTGGGTTCTTGAAGGCTGTGGCATAAAACTCAAATTTAGACAGTTCCTACTGAGGTAGAAAGGCTTCAAGTATGGATCCAAATATAAATCCTATGTCTATCATCTGAGGTTTAGCTGAGGTAAACTAGTAAAGCTCATCCCCAGAAGGTTGGCCATTAGGTGATGATCTACTTTGGCCACAGAATAATTAGACTGTCTGCTCAAGGCTTAACAGGAGGCAGGTGTGATATGAATCAGTGACGCATCACCAAACCACCCAGGCAAAATCAAAGCTCCTTAAAGAGTTTAAAATGTGAGAATTAAAGGCTAAGGCAAAAAGGATACACCATGGGGAAGGGAAAGCCAACTCTGACTAAGTCAAACTTTTCCTCATCATGATGTGCAACAATTTCCTGAAACACAAATGCTTTGTGTCACAGATCTGGAACACAGAATGAGGCTGTAAAGGACTGCCTTCAATAAACTTCTCTTTGCCAAAGAGATGACGACCCTAATCAAAAGCCACTATACTTGGGTGGCTATTCCAAATAAGTGCAATCAATATAGCAGAAATTAAATCAATGGCTTAAGAAATTTTAATAGCAAGAATTTGATTAAAGGCAATGTTGGCTTCAAGAAAAAGTGTAAGAAATAAAGCAAATAATTTGGTTAAAGTTATAACCTACCTGAAGTTGTCATTTTGTTGATTATACCTCACTAAGGCAAAAATATCTGCCATGTTAGTGAAAGAAATTAATCAGTGATTTTCAGTGGTAACAATGATAAGTTTGTTCTTAGAAAAATCACTCTACTGATGAAAAAACAGAATAGGTATGGCAATAGTATTGCTTTTCTGCCTAGTACTTCATATAATTCAATCTTTAAATAACTGAATCATGATAGCAATTTTTTTTTCAAACAGATGGTGGAAATCAGTGGTCCAAGGAAACAAGATTGTTAAGTTGCTACATCAGTTCTGATTAGGCTCATTCTCTGGGTAAGGAGTTTATAATACTTCTCAATCTATCAGAAAAGCAACATTAATGAAGTTTCTTGATAGGAACCATACTGTCAATGAACAATAGATCAACCAACAAGCATCCGTTAATCAAATATTATGTGTCAAGTACTGTGGATACAGAGACAAAAATGAAATTATTAGTATTTTCAAGGAGCTTACATTCTATCAAGGGAATCAACTATATGCATATAAATACATAAAAATTGCTACAAAATAAATACAGGTTAATTTTAGGGTGGAGGAATAAAAAGCTTGGGCAGCATGTAAAAAGCAATGCTCGAGCTGAGCTCTGAAAAAGGAAAAAAAGCTGGGATGAATGGGAACAAAGCTATGAAAGAAATGGGATCCCTCAAAGAATAATAAAATCCTAAACATACTACAATGCCCATATTTACTCACATTTCAAGTAGGAAATTAAGAAAAATGCTTTTCCTCCAAAATTCCTCCCACCCCAATTCCCCTTCCCTCCATCTTGCTTGGTAATAGCATTCCCAGAATGATCATACTTTGATGGAATCCTCCACCAGGTCATCCCAGGCTATAGCAGTGTCACACAGTATCTGACAGGCTTTATTACCAAGTTGGAAAGGTTTTGTTCAATGATCAACTGCTTCTATCCTGTGAGGACTAGCCTAGAAAATTCCAGCGAGACTCATCCTCAGATGATTGATTACAGGCCCTAAGGTTTTTGGTGATGGTGACCTATAAAACTGATAAAAATCCAAAACTACTCTTCGTCCTGCAGCTCTCTCCTGCAGCGATGGTGGAAGAGTAGCAAAAAGGTTCTGAAGGTCCAAAGAATCTTATGTTTCTTGGACAGTTTACAAATAATTTAATGCTGGCATTTTTAATGTACCATATATCATGAGAACGGAATACACTAACTGCTATACCATGAGAACTGAAGCAGAGAAAGACTAAAAGAAGGTCTCTGGTTCTTATATAATATTTATAGGAAGAGCTGGGCAGGAAATGCACAGGTGTGGAGTGGCTGGCATCTGTAACAGGGGAAGGAAACACCCATACTGATGAAATTAGAAATTGACAAAAGTTATCTACACAGGTTTAAACAGTGAATCCTAATAAAAGGGAGGCTTATCCACATTGGACAGACTTTGTCCTTATTAAGACAAACAAAATATCACTGGGGCATTTGGAAGGAAGAGCTGGTCAGCAGTCATTACTTTTCCCCAATCTTTTACCTCATCTCTTCTTATTTCTCCTTAGCTAGGGCTCTCAATATTCTAATGTATCTCCTACACTGCAGATGGTTAGAGATGCCAGGAGCAAGTTGAGTTTGTAACAGCTACTTGGCCCTTTTTTTGCTGGACCAATAGAGCTTGAAAGGAACATTAATAAATGTAACTATTTAATTTCAATAATTTGTAAGTTATCTCCCTCCCCCTGACCCATCTTGCACAGAGTACCTACAAAGTGAAACTGATGAAGGAAGGAAGAAATTCTGTGTTAAATTTGAGTTAATTTTGCCATTGACTGCTACATATCTCAATGAATAACATGACTTTTGGAAGTATGTCTGAAGTCTGAGGGTACAGGACTCAGACAACTGCATAATAATGCCATTTTCTACCCTACCTCATTCTAGAGCAAAGATATAATGAAGAAGATGAAATAATGTAAATAAACATACTTTTCAACTTTTAAAAAGAGGAGTATTATGCTACTAAACTGATCAAATGAGTAAATGAAAATATATAATGCAATCAGTTTTCATAATTAACTAAGCATAATGGCAAACACAATAACAAGTATAAGAAGCATAAGGAACTCTCATGTTTGCTGCTCCAAGGAATACGTTTAAACAAAAAAAATACATTCTGCATAGAACTTTCTCTTAGTACCTTATACATGGTATGATCTCAAGCTAAGGCATACGTATACAAACACAGAGCGCACAGTCTGTATAGACTTATTTTACATTTTACAGAGCAACACAATCTAGCTATGTGGTTCTAGGAAGCTTTACTGTCTTAAAGCTTTGCATCTCTCTGGGTAACTGAAGTTATGAATGCTCCAAAATTGGAGTGAGAGAGAAGGGAAGAAAAAGTTACATTAGCGTTATCATTTTTCAAGATTACAAGATATGACTTTATAGTGGCTACAGAAAGGACTTAACTGTGAATATGGAAGATGAATCTGGCCTTTTATCTTACAGACTGGCAACATTCTACATCTGACAAACATCTTAAAGGATTTACTGTCTGCCTCTCGGCTTCTTCATGTACTGCCTGATGGATGTTAAGCCTTTAGTATCATAGCAGTTTTAGCATTATAATAGCTTTAGAAAATCCTTAAGGAAGGAAAAGTTTTCATAGCTCAAGCATTGTCTAAGAACAAAGTTATTTTGTATTCTTTGAAGTATATAGAAATCCATAACTGGGAAGAGAAGTAGCTAAAATAGTCAGTTTATGAATCTAGAAATACAAAATCAAATTAATTCTGTGTGCATGTTGAATTAAAATAATCCACTAAGGCAGATGACATTCAATAATTAAATTTTAGGAATGGTAGAGGATACGTGTAAAATGAGAGCGGATCATAGAAGGCTTGAATGCTGGAGAAGATTCTTCTCCTTCCTGGAACACAATGGTGACGATATCATTTCCAATATGGCGCTTCCTTTCAACCTGTAAATAAGGACAATAACATATTATGTAGATTTAGGGGGAAAATACTGCAACTCAAAGTATATAAAATTTTCCTAAACAAGGGGAAACAATCCTTTAATCCCACCTTCTGCCAGAAACTTTTTTTTTTCATTTTCACACTTTCAGTTTTACTGTTCATGTGGGCTTTTTTTCATATTTTTACATTCACATTTTCACTTACAGATTTCTCCTGCTTTATAAGAGGTCAGAAGAACTAATAAAACAGCAAAGTTATTTGAATGTTCATGAAACACTTTACATGTATAGCACCCCTAACCTATTTAAAAAAAAATTAACAGAAATTTATTTTCTTTCCCTCTTACTCCCACTACATTAAAACAAACAAAAAAAAGCAAATTTCATGTAACAGATATGTACAATCACACAAAACAAATCCCTCAATGTCTGTACACAAAAATATAAATGTCTCACAACAACTGAAGACAGGCACAATGAAGATTCCAATTTCCCTCAGATCTCTGGCTAGTTGCCTATCCTTCCCTCATCTTATTTATTAATGATAAATCCTTCAAATCCTTTCTTTTTTAAAGGAATCAGATGAAAAGCTCAACATAAAAACCAGAAATCCTAAAGAAAATTAAAATTTTTTCTTTGAAAACCATCAGCATATGCCTGTGTATCTGCACATACAATACGTATGTGATATGCCATACTAACTGATACTACTAGATCCCCAAGGGCAAGGAGGGAGGGATCACTTTGTGTATGTCATTTTGCCAGGGCTTACTTAGCACACTATGACACTCAGTATTGAAAATCCCAGTTTCTTCCTTGGAAGGACACTATTTGTGGCCATTGGTTTTATTTCCTGGATATTACTATGTGATTGAGTCATTGAAACAATAAGAAAAAAGATAATTAAAATCCATTTTAAGGTAAAAAAACAGTTTCCCTATATTTAATTTGTTAAGAAAATTTTTTATAAACTTTGTTACATAAATTATTGTTGTGAAAGTAGTATAAAATTGGCAGTAGCTGCTGGCAATGAGGATAATTGCCCATGAATCTGTAAAAGTGAATATCTATGGATTACTAACACAAGTTCCAACACTTAGCCCAGTGCCTAGCATATTAAAAACACTTAATAAATGCTTGCTGGTTGACAGATTATTTGATTAAAGGCCTCAGGATGATATCTAAGGAGAGGGCAGTTTCATTTCTACTGTATATTAAGGCTTTAAAGACCATAACAACACACCTTTAGGTGGTGCAATGGAAAGAGCATCAAGCCTGGGGTCAGAAAGACCTAAGTTCAAATCTGTCCTTGGACACTTAGAGCTGTGTGATCTTGGGCATGTCATTTTACTTCAGTTTTGCCTCAGTTTCCTCAGCTGTAAAATGTGGTAAAAAATAAGAGCATCTACCTCCCAGGGTTGTTGTGAGGATAAAGTGAGGTAAGCATAGTAAAGTATTTAGTGCAGTTCTTGGCACAGAATAAATGCTATATAAATATTAGCTATTTTTATTGTAATTATAATTATCTTTAGGTTACGTGAATCTTACATTTCTAAACAGCCTAGGGAAGCCTATAAACCTAGTGGAAAAAGCACTGGTGGTACAGTCAGAAGACCTATGCTTGAGTCCTGGCTCTGTTCCTCACTGTCAAGGTCTATAAGACACTTGACTTCTTTTTGAGAATCCATTTCCTCATCTGTAAAATGAGTCTAACAATTTTACTACTTAACTCACATGGTTTTTATAAGAAAAATACTTTGTAAAACTGAAAGGGCTCTGTAAATATGAGTTTTTCTTATGATGACATCATACTCACTTGCTGTTTGTTCTCTTTAGAGTATGGTAACATGGTGGAAACATGAAACATAATCTCATGTCCCTGGTACACGGTATACACAGAATATAGTCCTGTAGTATCATCTGTAAAAAGAGGAAGTTACATTTAGTGAACACAATATATAAAGTCTGCAGGAAGAAAGTTTTTATTTTATGGACCAGAGTAGTAGTATTGGATAGCTAGATGTCTTTGCAGATGTGTTTGCACACATCACATGTCTATATTCATACAGACAACACTTGATTATCTACATTAGTAAATGAAGGGAAGGATTAGCATGGATAATCCAAAAGGAATAATTTAAAACTAAGTTATACTTGTTTGGGGAGTTTAATTTTGTACTTACATTTGATTATGGGTGTGTCTGGTATCCTGGAAATTCAGAAATAAAATATGTGATTCAGGCAGTGTGGTGTAGTGGGAAGAGCATTGGACTTGTAGTTAGACGACAGGGTTCGAGTCCTGGCTCTGCTATTTACTGGCTGTGTGATCTTGGGCAAGTAACTGTGACTTTCTGGGCCTTGGTTTCCTTGTTTGTAAAATGAGGGAGGGGCATTAGGGCATCTCTAAGGTCCTTTCTGTTTCTACCATTGTGGCCTCTTTGGTTCTTCCTGCGGCTCTGCTCCTTTCTCCATTTTGCAGGTTTCCACATCACACTGAAGACCTGGATGACTTCACCTCTCAGACTAAAGAAAAGCTCCAGCTTAAGAAAAAAATCTACCACTTCTCTATCTGTCTGTCTGTCTGTCTCTCTCTCACTCTCTCGTTTCCATTTTCCCTGTGAAACAGTGCTCTAGTTAAAAAGAGAGAATGCTACATTGCTTAGTTTCTGGTAGCCTGGCCAGATGAAAGATGCTTAAAGATGGTTATACTGTTAATTAAAACAGAGCATGTGATGTTGCAGAGAAGCAGAAAGATGCATTAAAAATCATATGCTTGGGGCAGCTAGGTGGCTCAGTGGATAGAGCACTGGCCTTGGAGTCAGAACCTGAGTTCAAATCTGGCCTCAGACACACTAGCTGTGTGACTCTGGGCAAGTTACTTAACCCCATTGCCTAGCTCCCCCCCCCAAAAAAAAATCACATGCTTGTAAACAACTGGGCTAATTACAAGTGCACATAGTCTAGAGGTGGAGAAATACATCCCTGACAGCCAGGGGCATAGGCTTTATCCTAAATCCCCCAGATGACTCACTGTAGATTTTAATACATGATGGGTCAATAATTTCACTGGTGTAGGTACTTCACTAAGGCAGATTAAACTAAACTTCTCCACATCTTAGTAGACAGTCTTCACGAATTGTTTTCTGAGTGTATGCAGCCCCCTCACCTCCTTTAAAAAAAATTCATCACTTGGTGGCCAACCTCTGGTGATTACTTAACTCTCAGATGGTGGACCTAATGCCCGTGGCCCTTCCAACCTAGAAAAACCTGCCCAAGTCTGCATTCCAGTTTCAGTCTTCAACAATTTAGAGTCACCTCCCTGCTATGATGAGGTATAGAAAGAGGCCCTCATTAAGTGACTCCCTATATGCCTCAAGAAGGTTACTTCACCTCTCTTTCATACGTCAATTTCTCATGCATCAAAGGGGTATAACAATTCCTGTGTCTATTTAATCATGCCAGATTATTGTTAGGATCAAACAAAATAAAGGAAGTGAAAATACTTTTAAAATTCCAGCACTATATAAAAATATAGGAAATTAGTATTATCATCATTATTACCATTACAATAATTCCAAGGTACTGGAAAGACTGATTTGTATTCCCAAAGCACAAAGATATCACAATGTACATATAATTAATATCTCTGTGGCCATGATGCTCAGGAACCACTGACTTCATGACTTCCTTGCAATCACATTCATACTTCTTCATTCCTCCCACTACAGTTTATGTCAAATACTGGCCAGGTTATTTCTCAGAGATATCAATATAAAAAAGGAATCACAACCACTGGAAATCTTACTTTTGGTGTCCAGACCTCCTCGATACCCTGTCCAGCCTTTTAGAGTAATTGTGTCACCCAAAAGATTGACTAATTTTTGAAAAGCTTCACTGCCAGTTTCTGAAGAAAGAAGAAATCAAGAATTAGGAAAATCATCCAAATCAGAGGCTAGGTGACAACATGTTGATTCACAGTTTTCATTCTCTAAGGGAAACCTGAAAATTGGTACATGGCAATATGTACTACTGGTAAGTAAAATGTGAAATTCACATTCCTTCTCCTTGGGCATCCTCCTTGCTAAGAAAGGCCAGCCTCAGGAACTTCAAACAGTGCTTTGTTCTGAGCCTCATATAGTTATCATATATAAGTATCATAGCTATCTATGTACATCTTTGGCATATGAGATCCATAAAGGTCGGGACTGGATCTGATCTTAACTTTGTATATCCTTCAGTGCCTAGCACAGTGTTCTGCCCAAAGCAAGCACTGCCTCAATTGAAAGCATGCAACTGAATTTTTTGAACTGAATTGGAAACCATATTGTAACTTTCATCATGGAAGGGGAATACATTAGAGAAGTTTTAGAACTATGCCAACCAATTAAACAAAATATTACATGGCTAACATACACTGTTATCATATAATTTCTGTTCAATCAATCAATAAGCATTCATGTACTTAGGTACTTATAGGCAATGTGTTAGGTGGTGGGAATACCATGACAAAACTGAAAAAGTCCTTTCCCTTAAGGGGCTTACATTCTAATACAAGCATAGAATAAATACAAAAAAGATACAAAGTACTTTAGGGAAGAAGGACTTAGCAGTTGGGGGAAATCAGGAAAGGCTTTAGGTATAAGGTGGTGCTTGAGATGAGTCTTGAAGGTTGTAAGGGATACTATGAGGGGGACGAAAGGAGTGAGACCATTCCAGCCGTGAGCATGGTCAGTGCAAAGGCATGGAAGTGCAACATGGAGTGCTGTGTGTGAGTCACTGCTAGGCTGCCAGTTTATTTAGACCAGGTATTGGCCAACTATAGGCTAAGGGCAAGATGGCATGCTGCCTGTTTTTGTACCATCCCTCCAGCTAAAATTGTTTTTTTTTTCATTTTAAAACACAATAAAATCTTATTTTAAAATGTAAAAACTATTCTTAGCTCAAGGGCCACACAAAAACAGGCAAGCATTGGATTTGGCAGCTAGATTATGGTTTACTAACCCTTGTTCTACTAGACCATGGAACATAGGAAGGGAAGCTGAAAGAAGGTGAAAGTGGCAGCGGGCACAATGAGTAGCCTCCCTTTCGAGAAGTGGTGTGAAGTGGGTTATGAGAAAAGTAGAGTCCGGCCTGGAGAGTACAGACAAGGAGGCAGTGCCATATAGGAAAAGCCAAACCTCCAACAGTGCTGAATGGGAGGGGCATGAGGGGAAGATGTCTAAAGTGAAGGGAAAGGGGTCAGTCATAGAGCAGGAATTTCAGAGCACACAACATTCTTGCTGGACATCTGGAACAGGAAAGGCAGCAGGTTGGTCTGTTTTCAAGAGTGCTATAACAACAGCTAGAGAGTCTAAGTACCATGAAATATTAAAAGAACTAGAAAAAGGTCTTTGGCATGTTAGGCAGATCTGCTGGGGGGGGGGGGCATTTAGGGAAAATTATGGACGAGAATTGCCCAGAATGAGGATGTGGCTAGATGGCAATCTATCTGTACCAGTAGAGGGGGTGCATACTTTAAGGAGATCACAGGTCCATATGCTATTACATGTAATGATTTTTGTAAAAGCAGCAGAGCTCCATTAATTTCCTTTTGATAAATGTTTTCATCATGCAAATTATTGAATGCAAGGGCAAGTCTATTATTATGAACTCATTTCCCCATTCCCGTGACCTGAATCCACAAAATAAATCTACACCACTACTACACATGTATAGTAGCAGATTCTTCTACTCCTGCATAAAATGGTGGAGAGCTTTGGGTTAGAACTTTACAAATATTACTATTGATTGCTGCTTCTCTGCAAAAATCCTTAAAACTGAAGAGACAGGGGTTGCTAAAACTATGTAACCAGGGCAGATGACTGATTTTAACTCCTCGAGAGTAAGAGTTATTGCTGGACTCACCATTACTGAACATTTCATCATCAGTGAGTTGCCCATCTTTGGCATAAAGAATCCCAAACTTGAAATTTACACAGCCCTTAAAAATATAAAGACAACATTTCAGAACAAAGATAGGAATTGAAGTGTTTTATTACTTTTGCCAGAAGAGCATGAATGATTACAGGATGTTCTACTTGCATAGAAACAGAATACTAATGTCAACAGACAACAGTATAATCATGCTTAGTGCAGCGGTAAAGAGCATTAGATTTGGCGTTATAAGACCTGGGGACACTGCTCAAATACTAACTGTGTGACCCTGAGCAATCTGATTAATCTCTCTTGGTTTCATAGCCCTAATCTGGAAAATGGGGATACTAATTCCTGCAAGGCCTACATTACCAGGTTGTTCTGAGAAAAGTACTTTATAAACCTAGAAGAGTTACAGAAATTACAGATATCATAGGACAGACCCTTTGAGTATGATTATTGATCACAGGATTACCAATATAGAGGTGGAAGGGATGTCAGAGGCCACCTAATCCAAGTAACTTATCCAAGATACACACGTAGTTAAGCATCAGAGGAGGGATTTGAATCCAGGTCCTCTGACTCCAGTGCCAATGAGATTTTAAAAAATTAATTCATTTTTTTGTTATATTTTAAGTTCTGAACTGTCTCCCTTTCCCCAACCTATACTAGAGAAGGTCACCATATGACACAGGTTTATAAACATATGTAAAACCATACTACATATACTTCTATTTATCAGTTCTTTCTCTGGGGGTGGGAAGCATCTTCCTTCATACGTTCTTTGTAGTTGATCTGAGTATTTGTAATATTCAGAATAACTTGATCGTTTGCAATTATTTTTCAAATGATATTGCTTTTACTGTATGCAATACTCTCTTGGTTCTGCTCATTTCACTTTTCATTATTTCATGCAAGTCTTTCCAAGTTTTTCCAAAATCAACCCATTTGTCATTTCTTGCAGCACAGTAGTATTCCATAAGCCAATGCTTCTTCTACCATACCACGTTGCCTGAATAGTGTTTCTCAGTCCCTTTGTGACCTGGTGACATGCATCCAGAAGGATAACAGGTCCAAGGGGAATTTCAGAGAGGCAGGTTTTGATCAATTTACATTAAAAAAATCTCCTAACAAGTAGAGATGTTTCAAAACAGAATGGGCTGCTTTGCCAAACAGTGCATTTGCTAGAGGTCTTTAAGGAAAGGCTGGATGACCACTTAGGGAAACTGTAGGGGAGATTTCTGTTCATGCAGAGGTTAGAATAGATGGCCTCTGAGGTCCCTTCTGGATATAGATGTCATGATGCTAAGTATTTGTTGTCCCTTTCATAAGGGCAGGCCCATGCAACGGAGACCATTGGTGGATGACAAGCAGATCTGGAGCAAGAGTGACTTAGATATGGGCCACTGAGTCGTGGCTGAAAGTCAAGTCAAAGTCTGTGTCCCTTCTAATACACTAGAGTGAGGAGCTGGGAAGTTATTTCTGGGAAGAGTATTTATCTATATCTATACATTGAAGTGCTCTAGTATAAGGCAGCAGTTGAGGTGGAGGAAAAGCCCATGAGCCTGGCATTGAAGTTACTGAGAAAGAATAGAGAGTGTCTTAGGGGTGGGTAGATAGCAGCTACCAGGCTGTTTTTATCACTGGGTGATAAATTTAGATTGAATGAACTTCAAGTGAGGAGAGGTCATTGAATGATGGTGGCAAAGGGAGTGTCTTTAAGTGGCAATGGGAAGCAAGGAGTATTCTGACTCCTTCACTGTAACCAGCGAGATGGAGTTTATGAGTGAAAGTACAGTCACTGCCAGAAAGGGTGGCTAGAAGTGCCACATCATCAGAAGGCAGTGAGAGCCAGAAGATGGAGGGACTATTAAAGGGATGGATTTAAGATGTAATCTAGAGGTTTTTGTGGTAAGCCACACCAATTTCCCCTTCTGTAAAGATCTTCCTGGTGGCATAACTACAACAATTTTTCTAAGACCTGGATAGTCTTCAAATAGATGACATGTTATTGATAGACAAATCCATATATTAATATTTATAGCAATTACTGAAAAAATAGACCATGTCATACTCTCTCTAGTCAACAGATGAGTTGAATAACAGAATATGTGACACGTATTGCTGGCACAGGAAATAAAGCATGCCCTCTTACTTGGCAAGTACACTACAGTCAGTTTGGGGTATCATGCTGAAGTCCACATTAAAATCTAGGGCTATGGCTTTTCATGGTCCCTCTAGCTCTAGAGGCTCTGGGAGCCCTTCCATGTTCAGGCCCTTCCATCTCCCTCCTCCATCATGGTTAATCCTTCTCGGCTTGGGTACAGGGCCTGCAGGTCTCCCTCAAGCTAACTTCTGTATTATAGACCACCAAAAGCCAGATGACTTAGAAAATAGTTTTATGCAGCCCTAAATGAATAGTTTTAGGGTTATATGGCAGAAGCTGAGCACACTGGACAAGGTATAGGGCAGTATTAGCCAGGAAATAAACCATGAGACTGAGTTGAATGCCAGATTGCTAGAGGCATGTGAGGTCTAGTAACCTTTCCGTTAAGTGAAGGTAAAATCACAGATGGATTAATGATACTTCCTCCAGACAGTAGGATACAATGTTTATTGATGGGTTAAATGCATAGAGAAAAAGGAATTGAAGTTTTTGGTGGAGTTTGGGGGAGGGATAGAATTTCTTCATAGCAGTGCTCAGTATATATATTTTGATTATATGTTATAAATGTCCTAGGACCTAATGCTAATCCTGAAATGGCCAATGATTCTTTCTCCTAGATGGTATGAAGTCAATGCAAAGTAGTAATAAACATATAATAGGTAAAAGAGTAAGACCATGAGTTATTCCACTGGAATAGTATACTAATATTGGAGTAACATGCACTGCTGTCAGAAAGAGCACAGGACTTGAAATCAAGAAACCTAGGTTTGAATCCAGGTTCTGACACTAGCTGTATGACCATAGGCAAGTCATTTACCATCTCTGAGCCTAACTTGTTTCATCTGTAAAATGGGGACAACAGTATTTATACACACCCAATAAAGGGGGTTAGGAGTAAAACATTTATAAAACTTCAAGTGTTATATAAATGTCAGTTGCTATTGTTGTTAACCACAAATAGGCTACCTTGTGTTGGGGGTGAAAAGAGATTGTAAGTACATTATCAGTTCAGTAAGCCTTCCTTCATATGCCATTATGCACATGCCAGTGCTGTGAAGGTGAATTTTGTTTAATCTTAAAGCACTATTTAAATTATTGAATTAAATTAAATAGTATGATGATTTTAAGCTGCTTCATCTAACTAGTCTTTTTCCTGTGGATGTGTATAAGATTACAAATGACTATATTCAAACACAGCAACCAGAACCTAGCAGAATACTCCACCAGTGGTCTGAGCAGTTTGGCACAGAGACTGTTACTTCACTTGTTATGGACCCTATACTTTTAATATGGCTTAAGATTGCATTAATTATTTTTTCTTTTTTCTTTTGCAGGGTAGGGTGGAAGAAAGCAATTGTATGGTACTGTTACCAGGAATAAATAAAAACTGGCATCTTTATTAAGAGCCTTAAAATATATAAAGGGACTTAGATCCATTGCCTCATTTAACCCTTTAATCAACTCAGTGGGATAAATTTTTATTAAAATTTTATTATTGTCATTTTATAGATGATTAGGCACAGAGAAATTAAGTGATTTACTCATGGGCACACAAATAAGTAAGTCAGAGGTGAGATTTGAACTCAGACTCTTTCCAATTCCACAACCAGAGTTCTTTCCACTATAGGACGCTGCCTCTCAGTTTAAATTTTTTTTTTCCTGATATTGGTTTATTTAGGTCTTATTTATTCCTCCATTCTAGAATTAATGAAGTTGATTTGAACCTAAATATAGGACTGTGAATTTATCAGTATTATATTTCTTCCTATTAGGTCTAGCCCAGTCTTTTGAGATCTTTTTAGATCCTGTCATCCAATGTATTAGCTATTCTTCCTAGTTTCATATATAATTATATGATTTTTTTAATTACTGATATGATTCATTATGCTTATTATTTCTCTAATAGTGAATCATATTTGCATATTTAGTATAAATCCTACTTGATCAGGTGAACAATATTTTTGATATATAATTGTATATTATTTCCCAGTGTTTATTTGATATTTTTATATTAGTATTAATATCTATGCATCTGAGTTAGTCTGTAGATTTCTTTCTTTGCCTTAATCAAAGGTGGTTTGGAGATCAGGACCATACTTGCCTCTTAGAAAGTACTGAGTAGAACACTAGCTTTATATTTCAAAATGATCTATATATAGCACAGGGATTATTTACTCTGAATGTTTGGAAGAAATAACTTGTGAATTAATCTGGTCCTGCAGTCCCATCAATCAATCAACAAACATTTATTATGGGCCTATTATATCCCAGATATTGCTCATTTTCTAATTTTTAAACTATAAACTGAATTCAATCATTTAAATTAGATGACCTTTGAGGTCAATTGATCAGCAAATATTGAGTAAGTGTCTACTATGTGCCAGGCACTCTGTTAGACACTGTGAGACAAATACAAAGAATGAAATAATTCCTATTCTTAAGGAGTTTATGTTCTAATGAGAGAGTCAATCTGTACATATGCAAATACATACAGAATAAGCATGAGGAGAACAAATGCAAATAAGTACAAGGCGGTTAAATATGAGTTGTTAGAGGAGGAGGTTGGGGGATCAGTAACGGCTTCATATAGAAGGTGGAGGTTGTATGGGATCTTGAAGGAAGAGGATTCTCTGTGGTACAGGTGAGGAGACAAGCTCATTTCAGGCTTCGGGGATGGCCAGGACAATGGCACAGAGATGCAAGAGGGAGTTCGGCAGGATCTCAGCGTATGGGAACGGAAGTAATGAGTGAGGTAGGAAAGATAAGTTGGGTCCAGGTCATGAAGGACTTTAAAAACTAAACAGAGTTAATTTTTATGCTAGAATCAACAGGAAACCGCTGATTTTAATGAATAGGGAAATGACATGGTCGGATCTGCAGGTAAGGAAAATCACTTTGGA